CAGCCCCATGGTTTGAAATGCCCAAGTTCCCCCTCACCGGGTTCCCTTCTGGACTCCTCATGCTGTCCGCCGGACTGTGTGTTCATGTGTGAGCCGACCCTGTGTACTGTYGTCTTCCTGGTACTCTTCCTGCTCAGTAGCGGTTTTTCCAGGTTCCTCTGGCTATACTTGCAGGCTGGCTCTTCCATGGGACCTTAGTATCAATTTGTATAATTATGAAATAGTTTATTGATGTTTTACTGGTATTATATTAAATTTACAAATTAACTTATGGAGAACTGTCATTTTGGTAATGCCAAGTCATCCTATCCAAGAATAGGATTTTTATTTTTTTATATTGTTTTTAGTTGTAGATGGACATAATACCTTTATTTTTATGTATTTATTTTAATGTGGTACCGAGGATCGAACCCAGTGCCTCACACATGCTAGGCAAGTTCTCTACCACTGAGCTACATCCCCAGCCCAAGGAATGTCTTTTCATTTGCCCACATAAATATTTTTTTGTGTATTTCAAGAATGCCTTAAGTTCACCTATATACATTTCATGCAATACTTGTTAAATAATTTAATTTTTAAATATTTAGTCCATTGCAATCATTTTAAACTGGATTTTCTCTCATGGCTTATTTATTTATTTATTTTTGTATTTGAAAGCTACTGATTTTTAATTAATTTTTCTTTTTGATACTAGGGATAGAACCCAGGGGATTTACCACTGAACTACATCTCCAGTCCTTTTTAGTTCTTGATTACAGGATCTCACCAAGTTGCTGAAGCTGACCTCAAACTTGATATCCTCTTCCCTCAGCCTCCCAAGTCACTGGGATTACAGGCATGCATTTCCATGCTTGGCAAAAGCTATTGATTTTAGTATACTAATTTCATACTGGCGAGTTCTCATGTGGTTTGAGTTAGTTTTATCATTGATTTCCTGGGATATCCAGATGTCTATTATGATGTCATTTGTGAACAGCAATAGTTTTAGTACTTATTCCTTCTGCCTCTGATTTCTCTCTTTCTCATCTCAGGTCAGACTCTAGTACAGTGTGAAAAGACATGGGGATAGGGACCTCTTTCCCTTCCCCTCAACCTTAGTAGGAATACTGGTTTAGGATTAAGGTATGTGTATTTTATCATGGTTAAGAGAAAAGCCCTGGAGCCAGGTGTGATGGTGCCCACCTGTAATCCCAGTGGTTCAGGAGGCTGAGGCAGGAGGATCGCAAGTTCAAAGCCAGCCTCAGCAACTTAGCGCCCTCATTAGAAGCTTAGCAAGACCCTATCTCAAAATTAAAAAAAAAAAAAAAAAAGAAAACTCCTAAGGGCTGGGGATCTGTCTTCCTTGCCTCAGTCCCAGCCAGGGGCAGGGTGTTTCCCTTCCTTCTCAGAGCCCTGGAGGCATTTGTACCGAGAGCTGCCTGGCCCAGATTCCTCTGTGGTTGCTTACTAATGTTTGTTTCTTCCGTGGAAGTGAACCTGGAAGTGATCCGCTTCAGCTTCTGACTCTAATGGGGTCCCTTTGGATCATGTGGATTTCCTGCAGAAGTCATGTGCTTCATCTGCATTTTCAAGTGTTTTTGCATAGAGGTCTACAAAGTTCTCTCTGATGCTTTTAAACCTCTTCTGTTTCTTTGGATATTTTTTGGCATCTCTTGTTTTAAGTATTTGTGCTCTCCCCCTTCTTCTTGATCAGATTAGCTAGTGGGTTGTCTATTTCATTTACTTCCCACACCAGGATTTAGATTTTATTCATTGGGTATATTGTTTTTTTATTCTCTACCTCGTTAATTTAACTCTTCTCTTCATTATTTCCTTCCTTGTGTTTGCCTTTGGTCTACTTTCTTGTTCTTCTTTTATTTTTTTGTGATTTGGGAATGCTTAACTCATTTTTTTCATTTTTCCTGATAAAAATGTTAGTGCAGTGATTTTTTTTCTCTGATTATTGCTTTAAATGTGTCTTATAGATTCTGCCATATAGTGTTTTCTTGTAACTGCTTTAATTCTGTACTTTTTAGTTTACATTTCCTCTTTCACATGACTTAATTGTAGGACTTTAAATCTTCCTGCTGTTTTGTTGAAATCAGTCCATTCACTGTGACCAGAGGTGCTGTGTGCAGTGCTGCTGCCCTCAGAAGGCTGTGCTGTCCCTACTGTGAGCAGAGGTGCTGTGTGCAGTGCTGCTGCCC